GGCCTAATGTGAAGCTGCAATAAAGACGGGCAAAGGATGAAGTAATAAACATACAATTTCACGTCTAGGAAAATATCCTGATCAAGTGACTAATTATAAATTGAAAACTAAATAAAAAAGCTTTATAATTTTACAGATAGTCAATGTTTCTTGTATGTTTGATGAAGCTAAACCAAAGTGATACTTAAAAAGATAATTTTATAATTTTTAAAATAAATGTTGAGGTATGCACTGAGACACTGATAATCCAGAAGATTCTAACCCAAACTGACTCAAATTTTTTCTCTATTTTAAAAATCTATATTAAATTTGCTAATATTACGAACAAGCAAAAAAAATCAACAAGTTAATATTGAGATTAATCAGTACATTTAAGTTTACTTAGGTACTAATTAATCAGCTGCGCAAAATTTCCATCGGTGACCTCAATATTTTTGCTTATTCGTATATTTAAAAATTGCTTTAGTCGAAATAAAATACCTTCTTAGTTTCGGCAGAGTTTTTTTTGCGAAATGTTTTAGCTCCATTTAGTCATCACACACCAGATCTTTTACATGTCCCCAAAAGTAAAAAGGGCTGGCCAAGGAAATTCTTCGAATTCAAGATCGTTTCATACAAATATACTTAAAATTAACAAGCACATTTGGACGGTTAAGTTTAATTTGTTTTTAGTTGTAGCCAAAGAAAATTACGTTATGTTTTCTAAATATTTTCCCGCTTTTCTGATACTTCTAACTGTCTTAGGAATGATCCTTAGCAAGTATAGGGTGAAATGAAAGAGCACAGAAGATAATCTAAAGAAGCAGTTGAAAATGAATAATTCAATTTGTGCATTAAAAATAAAGCATTAACTGGAAGATAAAAAAACTGAGCGGGCAAAACTCGATAGCTCAGACCGAAAAAAAGCATAATTTGTAACATCCTCAGGTTGTCTGAAGAATTTGCATCTGAAAGCTTCTGTTTATTTTGAGCCGTTCGAGAAATATTAACTTTTTTATGGCTGATTACATTTTCAGCACGAAATTTATTTAAAATGTTTGTTAAATTGCGATGAATACTGTGCACCCAAAAAATAGTTACAAGCTTAGAGTTGTCAACCTCTGTTTATTTTGTTGTGCTTGTAATTCCACAAAGAAACGAAGTAAAGAAGATAAAAAAAATATTTTTAGGTGTGAAAAGGTTCCTAGATAGGGAAGATCGATTTAAGGCGTACTGCTAGATTGGCTACCAGTGGATCATGATCCGAACCAATGTCCACACCGAGGTAAGCTGTTGTTCTTTTCACTGATTATCGAAATGTAGACTATTTGGTTGTTAGTTAAAGTTGTATTTAAAGAAAACAAACATTTTCGACATCAAACTTTGGATTTGGAAAAAATATATTAACACTCTGTCAACGCAGCAAACAAATATTCACAAATTCTATACACGCTTACAAACAGCATAAGAATCGTAGCGGGTCATGTCGAATAGTTGCTACCGTTCGTCCAACCACTCTGTGAGCTGTGGTTGCTGTTCAGCTGGTAAACTACATTTCATATACGAGGGTCATAACAAATCTATGGGTAGTAAAATGCGGCCTACTGTACACTGATGTCTAGATAACACACCAACTAATTAGTTGGTAGTTTCAAGCTCAGATTAAACAGATACATTTGTTTACGTTTTTCGATGGGAGGAACATTGGTTCACAGCCTATATAAAAGTAGGTACTTACGAGAGCTGCTTCGCCGGCTCGGTATTCAATTTGATATACAGGGTTGCTCATTAGTGCGTCAAATATATATGAGGTTTACAAGAAAATTCGTCCAACGAAAGTTTTTCAGGTTTAAAGGTCCACATTCTAAAATTACTTTCCAATATACAGGGTGCATCATAAACGTGTGGTAGTTACCAACTCTGGTTTTTTAAATGAAACCCCCCTT